CAACATGTATGCTATGGTAATATAATCTACGTATGTTCATGTTGTATGTGTACAATTATTATAACCACATATGTAAATTAATACTGATAATCTATGCTGGATAATAATATGTAGTGTATAATATGTACACGTACAAGCCTAGTATAATACAAAATATATTATATATAACAGTTTACATGATGTATACATAAGGGTACACGTATATCTATACTATAATAGATATATTAAATTTATATGATATAATATATATATAGTTATAATATATATGTGTGGATGTGTGTGTGTATCAGTGTATAAGGTGTATATGTGTGGTGTGTGTGTGTTATGTATAATGTTATATGTGTGTTGTGTGTGTGTGTATTGTATCATGTATACTGTGTGTGTGTGTTGTGTGTATGATGTAATAATATGTATACTGTCGTGTGTGTGTGGTGTGTGCGTGTTATATGTATATGTATAGTGTTGTGTGTGTGTGTGTGTGGTGGTGTGATGTATAGTGTATATGTGTGGTGTGTGTGTGTTGTAATATGTAAACGTGTGTGTGTGTTGGTGTGTGTATGTATATGTTGTGGTGTGTGTGTGTGTGTGTATATGTATTGTGTGTGTGTAGTGTGTGTGTGTATATGTATATGTTGGTGTGTGGTGTGTGTATAGTATAGGTGTGGTGTGATGTGTGTATATGTATAAAATGTAGCTGTGTGTAGTGTGTTCATATTTGATATGAGAAAAAAAATGGTGTGTGTGTGTGTGTGATGTGTGTTGTGTGTGGTGTAGTCGATGGTATAGAAAAGATGTGGTGTGTGGTGTGTGTGTGTATATGTAAGCTATGTGTGTGTGTGTGTGTGTGTGATATGATGTTATAATAATGGTGTGTGTAGATATGTGATAGTATATGTAAAGTAATATGGTATATGATAGTGTGTAATATATACCTGCACGCAATTATTCTTGTACCCGCCTTCCTATTCCATCACATTCCTATTGCTATTTTATATTACAAAAGTACCTATATAAATCTACTTGTGTGCCATTAACATCTTCCATATCCTCCACCCACTCTCAATTTCATCTAGTATTATGTAGAGCATCTTATGTAATTGAGGGAGATAAGTTTGCCATATGGACAGAATTAAATTATTTTCTCTGAGGGGGTGGGTCGAGGGAGCTGGCAAGGCGACGAGAAGAGTGGGAGGAAACTTTCGGGAATAAGAATTATTAGATAACACTGACCAAAATTATATTCTCTATTCCTTTGTTAGCAGATTATCGTATGCTGTATGTGTATGTAATAGTGTAATAATTAATATGTTGTGTATGTCATAACCTGTAATAGTGGAATACATGTATTAACAATATATGTATCGTATACCGGGTGCAGTTTATAATACTAACTTACTATCACGTTGTATAGATGATGTGATTGTACTGTAATATGTATATATGTGTATGTTAATTAATAAAGGAAACTTATGTATATACACACATATATATATAGTATGTGTGTCGTCGTGTGTGTGTGTTTGTTGGTGTTGTGTGTGATGTGTGTGTGTTAGTAGTGTAATGTTTTAGTATATATGTATATGTTGTGTTATTATGTACATATGTATGCATAGTATACTATAGTTGAACATGTATTTACGATACATAATATTATACATAATACTAATATTCTATACACATAATACAACACAACACTATCAACATTATATATATATCATATATGATCATATATATATACGTCATTTCGTGCGAGATATGTGGTTGTGGTGTGTGGTGTGTGGGTGTGAGTGGTGGCTGTGTGTAGTGTAGTGTGATGTGTGTGTGTGGATTCATGGTAAACATGAGTGTGATGTAGTGTAATAGGTGCTTTATGTATGCTAAATTATGTATGTGTATACTCATATAATAATGTAGGGTGGTATTATTATAATGTTTATATGTATATTATATGTATTTATTGTATGTATATGTATTTTTGTTTGTACTAATCCCTTGCATGTATACTCGTTCCCCTTGTATACTATATATATATGTTAATAGTATATATTATCATCTCGTATGGTATGTAATGTACTAATATAAATATATTTATGCCCTGTTTATGTATATATCTATACTTTGCATGTATGTATATATAATCTACAATGCATGTATGGTTATGTAATATCGTACTTATATATACCTGTATGGTATGTAACTACTGTATATTATATAGCTACTGGTATGTATGTAAGTATCGTTACTAGGGTATATGGGCATGTATTTATGTTATATGTATATTATATACAGTGTATGTATGTATTATGTTGTATAATTATATCATGTATGTATGTATATTGTAATTATATACCCCTCATTGTATGCTATGTTATTGTATTTTTTAGTATCATCCCCGTATCGTCTGTATATTCTTGTAACCTTACTCACTACTGCCATGGTACTGTTCATGTATATTCGCTACCTCAGCCTCTCACTCTCATGTCACTGTCATCGTACTACTGTAATTACTCTACTACCCATGCTATGTATGCTTACTATGCTATCCTTCCCCTATACCTCCATGTCACTCTCCCCGTACTCGCCTATCATTTCTTGTTACCTTATTCTCTCTATATCTTCATGTATGTATGTATACTGTAATATCATATATCCTGTCAATGTATATAATGTATGCTATGTAATAGTGTACTTATTCATACATCTGCATGTATATATGTACTGTATCCCATCTTAATGTATATATATACTCATGACCATGTAACTGTATGTATACTGTATATATATATCATGCATGTATCGTTATGTATAATGTATATATAATATATGCATTGTATGTATGCTTATGTATATATATATATGCCCATGTATGTATGTATATGTATATATATATATGATTGTACCTGTATGCTCTATATGTATTATTACTATACTATAATGCCATGTATGTATGTACTGTCGTAAGTAGTATAGTTATACTATGATTATGATGTATGTAATGTAATCGATGTATACCCTCATACTATGCAATGTATGTTTATGTATATGTATAATCCACTACTAATGCATGTATGCATGTATTTGTTTACTATATATTATATGCATGTATGGAGCTTATCAGGTATATCTGTGCATGGGCTATGTTATGTTAATGCTCATATATATGCATGTATGTATGTATGAATCGCTATGTAATGTATGATATATATATTGCAGGCGTGAAGTGTATACGTAGAGTGTGTATATGGTAGTTTATGTTATTAATCGTGGATAGGTATTAGCCGTATAGGGGATGAGTATGCATGTAGGTAGTATGCTGCTGTGTGTGTGTGGGTGTGCGTGTGTTGGTGTGTGTGTGTGTGGTGTGTGTGTGTGCATGCTGCATGCATGTATAAATGTGTATATAATCATGTGTATATATACTATTAGTATATGTATGTATGTGTTTAGGTATGATCATTGGGCATGTATGTATGCTGGGGTATATATACTTCATATATATATATATATATATATATATTATATATATATACTAGTATTAGCTATATAGTATTTATTTTCTATGTATGTAACATCGTGGATATATATAATCCTTACTAATACTACTATATACCCTATATATATTAATAGTAAATTCATACACACCTCACACACCAGCACACACATACTACACTACCTCCCACGGCACACAAACCCACCCACACACATGTAATGTATATCATATTATATATGTATAACATACCACAACACAGATATATACCTTCTTATCATACATTATATAACATGTACATATAGAATAGTACTAAGAGTGCATTACTATAGTTATATAAATATTATATATATATATATATATATATTATATATATATATATATATATATATACTATATATATATATATAGTAGTATATAGGTAATATATGTATATATATGTTAGTATATATGTAATGTATATATATATATATATTTATATGTATGTATGTGTATTATATATTTATATGTATGTATGTGTATATATATGTATATAAATATATATCTGTGTTTGTGTATGTATATACATATATATTATATATATACATACATGTGTGTGGGTGTGTTTGTGTGCCTGGGTGTGTGTGTGTTGGTGTGTGGGTGTGTGTGATGTATAATATATATATATATATATATATTATATATATATATATATATATATATATATATATATATATAATATACACCACACAGACACACACACACACACACACACACACACACACACACACACACACATGATTTTTCTTTTTTTCTTTTTTTGCTAAATTTTTTTGGTTCTTGAAAATGTTTTCATAGGAATAATAGAATTTCCAAGAAGATGTAAGTAATGGCTAAAGAAAGCTATAGATATAGAAAAATCAAGCTGTAGGGTTGACCTGATTTAGCTTCGTTATATGATACTTCTTAATGAGTAAATACCTCTACTTGGGATAATGATGTGTAATGCTGTTGTGTGAACGGAGGAACAAGAATGATAACTGATAAGATTTTGTGTGTGTGTGTGTGTGTTATCTGAAGAGGATAAGGAAGATATAAAATGTAGGATATTGTCATTGTTGTTTTATCATTATTTTTTATATGCAAATTGAAGTGTAAGACTGACATTTGACATTTCCATTCTGGTTATTCAGTCATATAGTAGTAGACAGTCCTGTTTATTTTGTGAACCTTGTGTATTATGTGATGTCAATGTCTTACCAGTTATTACTAACAACTGCTGTAGTTGTCAGTGTTGATCATAAAGATGCATAAAACTTCTTTCATCTGCGAACCAGCTAATGGGATTTGTTAGCTGATTTGAGACCTGGAAGGGTTGCTAATGCTTTTGTATTATTACATATCAATCATTATTACTGGTATCTTAAGTTAGACTGCATATGTAGTTGTCAATTTCCAACATTAAAGCTTATTTTCCGACATTTTGAAGCTTCTTTTGAAATAAAAGTATACTTAACAATGCCCCTGTCTGCAGGCTTGGCAGCACCAGCAGCATTTAGTGCACCATATGTGATCAATGCCCAGGAGCCATACGTGGGGACCCTAATAACTGGTAAGTACTTTCTTGCTCTTCTTTCGAACCTTGTTTAGTTTTAACTTTGGTTAATGAGACTTTGTTCTTCTCTTGCTACATGCTACAAACTGGTGATTAGCCCACCTCTTCCTGCCAGTCGGACCTGGAATTTCATCCTCTGTTGCTCTTCACTGCTATTATCTTTAGATACTTTTAGATTTGAGATTTCTTCTATCTTTTTTCAATTTCTCTCTTAATTCAATAAGGTTTCTAGTAAATAGTGTTTCCATAGAGGTGTATGCTCTTTTCTTCAGTCTTGATAGTTTTTATCTGTCAATGTACTTTGTTCTTTTGGAAGTTATACTGAAAGTTTACAGTAGATTTTCTTACATCCCATCATTTACTAAAGCTTCTCACCTGGCATGCTTGGCTTTTACATCTATTTTACCCCCTGTTTATCTTGCATGGACTAGTGTTTTAATATTAATGCTTGCAGGAAATCTGTAACATAACAAAGTATTTCACTGTGGGTATTTTATTACTGCAATAGTGCATAGTTTATATGTGATTGGCTGTTGTGTTAGATTTTGTAGGACTGATAAGTTACTACATCTGAATCATTACATTGTGTTGTGATAGGTCCGACAGCAGTGATTCCTCAGTACTATGGGGTGCACTGGGGCGTGTATCCAGCAAATATCATCCAACAGCAGGGACCGGGTGGTCAGCCCAGGAGACCAATCTCTCCATCGCAAACCAGTGAAGTTACCAATCAAAGCAATGGTAACTTGGCAGCGGCTGCAGCTGCAGCAGGCAACTTACAGGGACCACTTTCACAATATCAGGTATTACATAATTTATCATTATGCATACATGTTTGATATGTATTCACTATGTATATGGATACAACATTATGTATTCAATGTGTTCAGATATTTACTAAATGTTTTTGTAATACTTATTTATCTTGTGCAATTAATTATTTTCCACATATAATGTTGATTCCATTCATTTATACAACATGTGTGAGAGTGAGTGAGTGATGAAAACAATACACTTGTATGTGTATGTATATGATGCAAGTGTGTGTATGTGAACAATCACTGAAATATAAGATACAATAATGCTTGCAAATAAATTTCTTCTTGGTCTCCACATACTAAAGTTTTGCCATGTTTCTTCTACTACAGCAGGTAATCCCAGCCTATTATGATCAAAATGGGGCAGTTTTGATGGGCAACCTCCGAGGAGTAGGTAATGGTGCCCCAGTACGACTTGTCTCCCCTGCACCAGTTATTATCAATGGTGCCAATGGAGCTCAGGCTGCTGCTGCCAATAACATGAGGCTACTAGGAAACCAGGTACTGCCTTAATCCCATTCCTCTATTTGCATTCATGTGAGATGCCTGGTCTACTGGGCATGAATTATGATTGGACAGTAGATGAACATGAGAAAGCTGATCTTGTTTACAAAGGGGATTGGCAAGATTTAGTCTTGATGATATAGATAGTAACAGTTCTTAATGATCTTCATGTGTTGCAGGCACCCCAGATAGGAACTCCACCAGCCTCCATCTACAACAACAGCCAGACTCCGAGCCTAAACAGCACCCAGACCTTCACTGGGAACACACTTGCTGGTACGCATGTTGAGTGTAACCAATATGAATACTGTATGTTGTGAAAGCTAACATCCCAAGACCCCAATAACCAATTTACTGGCTAGTTGCTCATGGATAAGTAGTAGAATAACAAGATGATTCATAAAGAAACTATTATTTACATAAACTTTCTCCATATGAACTGGCCAGTTTTAAATGATTTTGCATGATGAATACATCAGAACCTAAGTGTGATACTAATAACACTGCTACACTGTCCCTGGCTAAGGGAAAAGAAATGGACATACACAAACTATTCAGACTTGTATCAAGGATGTGCTGTGATTTACAGGTGTGGGTGATGGCACCATCTTAGTCAGATCTTGCATGTTGTTTATTAGCCTTCATTAATAATATTTATTAATCACAAAGTCACAGTACGACGTTGATCTTGTGTAATAAGTGCATCCTGTCATGCAACAGTACAACATAGATTATTATAGTGTGTGGTTCGTTTCTCATTGTTGCAGATTCCCTCTCGCAAGGCCTGCAGACTTCCAATGCACTAACAGGCAACAACTACTCGTTGGGTCTGCAAACTAGTAGTCTAGGTTTTGGCAATAGCACCCTGGGCACCATTGGATCCCCTGCTATTGGCAATTTAGGTGGTGGTAAGTCCCATCCATTAACAACTTTATAACTGAATTTTGTGAGCTGGAATATCATTTAATAATTAAGAGTGTATGTAGCGTCTTCAATTGAAAAGGTGCATCCCCTAAATTTAACTGAACTCTTGCATTTCATAACATTCTCCTCAAAAGTTAAAGGGAAGATCACATGACAAAGATTACCAACTCCTTTCAGGTCTTGGAGGTAGCATGGGGCGACGTGATTCCTTAGACCGTACCACTTCAGTTCTGTCACCACTTTCTCAAGATTTCCGAAGTGGCAAATGGACGAGCAACTATGGAGCACTTGGTACAGTTACCGCATCCCCTGGGCCTATTGGTCTAACCTCTGGTAGCCTGACACCACCCCCAAGCCTCAGTAACACCTCTTCGGCACTGCCACTAGGTGCCCTAATGTCTGGTAACCGTGTCATCTCTGCTGCACCAGGAGCAGAAGCAAAGTTCCGAAATGGTTCCACAAATGGAATGTTCACTTCTGGCGGATCCTCATCCTTATTCCCACCCATAAAACGAAACCTGAGCTTGGAAAAATGTACTGGTCGCTCACGCTTACTGGAGGACTTCCGAAACAATCGATTCCCCAACCTGCAGCTCAGAGACTTGGCCAACCACATAGTGGAATTCAGCCAAGACCAGCATGGTTCCAGGTATATTTATTACTGAAGGCAAAGATTATTTCTTGTGAAATTCAAATGTTATCTTGTTCATTTTGTTACCTCTTACTATGAATTTACATCATTTATGCATTGTTATTTATCCAAATTTCTTTCTTTATTGTAGGTTCATTCAACAAAAGCTTGAACGAGCAACACCAGCTGAAAAGCAGATGGTATTCAACGAAATCCTAACAGCAGCTTATTCTTTAATGACTGATGTGTTTGGTATGTATTGCAAAAATTTATTTTTCTATTTGTATATCAAATACTGTCAGATGAGAAAATGATTGCAGTATATTTGCAATATTTGCATGAGAGAATATTTGTTTGAAAATAAATTTATTTGTGAATATAAAATGTCTTGAGTAATATTTAACCATAATTTGAATAAAATCTTGTTCACAGGTAATTACGTGATTCAGAAGTTCTTTGAATTTGGAACCCCCGAGCAGAAGACTGTCTTGGCAAACAAGATTCGTGGCCACGTTTTGCCTTTAGCACTACAGATGTATGGATGCCGTGTGATTCAGAAGGCTCTTGAGTGCATTACTCAGGACCAGCAGAAAGACATCGTGCGTGAACTGGATGGCCATGTCCTCAAATGTGTTAAGGATCAGAATGGTAAGGGGTGACTTCAAGAACTGCACCTCCATATTGTGTTTTTCATGCATTATTATAAATGCTAGAAGGAAACAAAACTAGTATTTACGTTAATCCATGTTTTTTCAATTCACAGGCAACCATGTCGTGCAAAAATGCATTGAGTGTGTGGATCCCATGGCCTTACAGTTTATCATCAATGCTTTCCAGGTACTCTATAAGCATTATTTTTTCCTTTTTATCAGTATATATGGATAAAGTATATCGGAGTGCCTCAGATACAAAAATTCATTAATGTTACCAGTGCAAAGGTATAGACTGTTCAGTTTACATTCCTTTTTTACAGGGGCAAGTCTTCACCCTCTCTACACATCCCTATGGTTGCCGTGTTATTCAGCGTATCTTGGAGCACTGCACTGGAGACCAAACGTCCCCAGTGCTTGAGGAGCTACACCAACATACCGAACAGCTGTTACAGGATCAGTATGGCAATTATGTCATCCAACATGTGCTTGGTAAGATTTTACTTTTGAATGTTACAGACCCACAACTTTTTTCTCCCCCTAGTCATAATATGTATTATTTTTTCTGGTCAAGATACATCACAAATAAGATTATTAAATAGAATATTTTTTCTCCCTCTCCCCAGAGCATGGAAAACCAGAAGATAAGAGCAAGATCGTTGGCGTGGTGCGTGGCGGGGTTCTAAAGCTCTCTCAGCATAAATTTGCCTCAAACGTAGTAGAGAAGTGTGTGACGCATGCTACCCGTGCCGAGAGGGCCATGCTCATTGAAGAGGTAAATATGATTGAGGTATAACTATCATCGATTGTATATTGACATCGTTTTCTTTTCTGTTTTTTATTGCTATATAACACTTTCATGAATTTATTTGAGATTTATTTTTAATGCAATATATATTTAATGGATATATAATGCCAGGGGCTTTTGTGAATACTACATATCAGGAATTAGTAAGAATTGTTGAGGAAATCCACTGGTGGATTTTTTCAGTTCTGGCATTTAATTTACAAGTTTGTTGATGAAAAAGACATTTAAAAGATTCCTGAATATAAACACAGATGGAATCCAGCATTAAAGCATATTTGCTCTACATTTCCAGGTGTGTGGATATAACGACAATGCACACAGCTCTCTGCTGATGTTAATGAAGGATCAGTATGCTAACTATGTGGTGCAGAAGATGATAGATGTGGCTGAACCTGCCCAGCGAAAAATGCTCATGCACAAGATCCGCCCACACATTTCAACTCTCCGCAAGTATACTTATGGTGAGTGTCTTGGTTTTCTTATTTTCATGAAAATTTTCTTAACATTGGATAACCTGTTTGGTGATTATTAACTTTTTCTATGCTATAGGTAAGATAGCAAAACTGGTGATTTAAGTTACGTTTACATGATTATTATTATTGTATTTCCCTCCCCTTTCAGGTAAACACATTTTGGCTAAGTTAGAGAAGTATTTCATGAAGAATGCCCCTGACTCCATGGGACCTAACATGACCAGCCCTCTCTAAGCTGGAGTCGTACCACCACCTGCCACATCCCACTTTTCCATCGAGGGAGAAAGCCATAAGAAAAAAAAAAGAAGAGGAGGAGAGAGTTTAAAAAAAAAGAAAAAAAAAAACATTTTTTATGTAAACAATTAAACGAAGAATTCATTCTTGAAATTTTCTGAGCACGAAGTTTTTATCATGAAACTGATGTTTGTGGTGTGATGCACTTGATTTAGCTTTTTTGATGTTTTCCATTATACATGAAGTGTATAATCCAAAAGATTGTTCATAGCCTTATTGATTGATGGAATATGATATTCAGAGGTCTATGTTTTTGTTTCGAAACACAAGCATAATCAGTCGGGTCTGATTGCACGGACTAAATAATTTTATAATTTTTTTTTTTTTTTCTTTTTCTTCTTTTTAAAACAGAATAAATTGATTAGTTGGCCTTACAAGAAGGTTCATAGATGATATATAAGATGCTGAAAAGCAATTTTAATTGCAAGGTGTTATTATTTATATTGTTTTCCCCTTTTTTACTGGAAAAAATTAGGAGGAATAAATTAGTTCATATGTGGAATGGTATTACAAAATCCTTTAATTTTATTGAGTTAATATGTTATTGCTATTGATAAGCATATCTTAAAATTTGTGTATCAAGGTAATTATGGTTCTACCTTGACTTTTCTGATCTTTGAAGATGAGAAGATTTTATGTGACAGTGAATACAGTATGATTTTCTGCAAAAAAAAAGAAAAAAAAAAGATCACTATTGATAACAGGAAGAGTTAAATTAACATTAATTCAAACTTATTTTGGTGTGCCCTTAATGCATAGTAACTTTTCAGCTAGGCTCTTGTAGTTTGATAGAGCATGTTATTCATTATTGTGGGCTTGTGGCTATTTGCATGATTTTGCTGTAGTGAGCTTTTCCCATATATATCAATTTTGAATCTTAGACATATACCTGTTTGCCACTTTTTACCCAATTGGTAAATGTTGTTACCTACTGTTGTATTGCTCTTTCTTTCATATAAGTAGTGGTGTATAATGTTAGGATTTAGAAGCCATGTTTGCCTGGGCAGGCCAAACCATGGTACTTCTGAAGTGATTGAGGTAGAGCAAGTGGATGGCAGCCCATTTCTGAGTTCTGGACAAGGTGACGACTAATCCTGGCCCCTGAACTAGCATCTGCACCCTAGGACACTGGATGTAGATGTAGACCTTGCAAAACAAAAATAAAGAGCCTGGCACAGATAATAATTTTTTTTAGGGGAGGGACAGTGTAACGCTCAAATTGCTGGCTGGTGTTGCTTTGTATGTTACCATGACCAAGTGGAAAAGTGGCCATGTGCACCAAACAACTGAAGATGTGCATTTGTGCGAATGAGCGTAAGTGACTGCATGTTTGTGTGTGTGTGTGAGAGAGAGCATGTGAGAATATAAAGGGAGTGTGAGGTGCCTGCCCTGCCCGCGTCCTAATTTAGGAACGGGACTCTGCCCTCGTCCAGCCAATGGGTCAACTTGGCCTAGCGCATTGTAAAATTTGATGTACATTGTATCAACTGGTATATATAAAGGCAATTTCAATATGTAATATTGGGCATTACTGTATAAATCTGTACAGTTGAATATTCTATATTTTCTTACTTGTTTGTGTGTTTGTAATGTCAGTGTGATACTACAATACCACCAATAAATCAGGCACAGTTCTGGCAAGTCCTGCCTGTGTGCTAGTAGACTGGTGTCTGGATTATATATTATACAAATTTCAATCCAACACTTTCACTAAACAACCTTTTGTCTCACCAGCTGCAAAAGAATTAGGACACTGGCACATGTACTGCATCTTAAGATCATTTTTAGGACCAGGGACACCTCCCCATCTAAGGTATGCCTGACAAGGTCCTGTTGCAGTGCACAATTCGGTAGTGGCCCTGAGACTGTCGTTATGAGCTTGGGGCACAGAAATATCCTTCTCACCATCACCAGGATGTGTACAGTTAATAACGTGCCCCCTCATACCAGGTCTTTGGGCCACTGTACCTTAGCCCACCTTTTGGGCTAAAACTACCATGCTGCTCAAACTCTTTCAGACCAGCATGCATATTAAGGCTAACCACTTCACACATTTGATCTTGGTTTTGCTGGTTCTGGGATGTAATAAGCAGTCTTAATATCTGTTAATCTTGTATCTTTGTATCCCTGTACTTCAGCTCATGCAGGCTGGAACAGGCCCATGTGTTTATACTGTAGAGCTCCTGCCCTTGCCAAAAGACCTAACATTGTCAAATTGTAAATTCTGTGAATATTATTGAATTTTTTTTGAGGAGGCCAATGTTGCGGCATGTAATGTAAACATTTTGTAATAAATTAGTGTACAGAAAATGCTGATGTGTACATTTGGAACATGTACCTTTTGTAAACGCCATATTGTACAGAGCACATGGTGATATACTCCTGAGCTGTGTTACTGCTGTATAGTAAATTGTACATATTGATTATGAAGCAAGATCTTAGCTTGGCCTGTACCTGCCTGTTGAGCACTAGTTGTATATTGCATATGTAGATGTAATTTTCTTGTAAACTGTATTTTGTATATGTCCTAAGCTAACAGTAGTTGGTGTAATATTTACTGTCTTGATCTCACAATTCCTGCGGGGAAGATGTGAAGTGTGACAATTTTGGTGATTTTTGCCTTGCTTGTGGTCTGCCATCTTGGTTTGGGTCTTCAATAATTCACATTTGCATTTTAATATGCCTTTAATCTAATTCAGAACTTAAGAAAAAAAAAAACATTTTCACACTTCTCCATGGAAATGCTCTCTCCCCCGACCTTGACTCCTTGGTTCTGTAATTGACTTTCTTAAAATTGACTGTCAAATCAACAAGCAATTGATCAAGAATTTATGGTTAATTAGGGGACCCAGTTGTCATAAACTGTACATCTATGTACATTTTCATATTTGTAACCTTTGTTTGCTTTAGATGTAGACGGACATGGTCTTTTGACCCAATTTTTGGCACCAGCTTCTCTCTCTCGAAGTTTTTATTGTGTTCATATATTCATTCAAACTATGTATTCTTGTTCAAACTTCACTTTGGACACTTTAAATGCTGAAGTGTTTGCACCATGTCTGTTGATATTAGCAGTTATTAAAATCGTTTTGTGTAATTTTTGTATTGTTTGTATTAGTGTAGTTAGCCTAGAGGTGTGCTAATTGGCCACAGGGCCTGTCGCCCTGAAGCAGTAGGGATGTGGTGGTACTCTAAGTTGTCTCCTTTACTACAGCCCGTGTATGTATGGTGGTGGAGGTGGTATGGTCTTAGTCACTATTCTTTGTACCTAATTGCATACCCCAGTATGTGTAAAATGATTCGAATAATAGTTTTCGAGTAGTTTTATTACATAATGCTGTCACATACTGCTGCCTTCGAAAGAGTTACAGTCCTTTGAGCCATAACGCCAGACTTTTGTCATCCAGGCCACACTAGCGTGTACGTAGGACGTTTTCAACTGTATTATATGTAAAAATGTATCTTATACAATATGTATAAAATGGAGTGATGCATTCCATTTGAACATCCAAGGTTTTTCTACCCAATGTTGAAAGGTGAACAGTCCGACGGCCAACCGCTCCAGTTAGCTATCCTCTGCCAGCATTGTTTCTAGCGTTGTTACTGTTACTGGCCAGGTGGAGGTATGGCTTGGCCTCGTTACCCTTTCTCTCTTGCCACCATAACACCTGTTGCTCTAGGTTTGTTCGCTATCCCTGTAACTGATATAGGAAGTGAATGGCCTGAAAACTCGTGAATCCTACAAGCTGTAGACAACTAATCCCCTTGCACCAGTGCCCATAATCTTCACACTCGCAATTTAAACTCCAATAATTGACTTGACCACTGTGCTAAAATATTTCAATCTCCAACAAAACGTCACTACAAACATTTTAACCACGGTTCTAAACTTTAGTGAGAGTACCATACAAGATCAAGAGACAGTGCCTTGCCACTACTGCTTGTTAGTGATGCGCGAGGGGAGCGATTGGAGGAGAAAGGGTGGCAGCCCAGGAGGAGGGTGGGGCTGGGCCAACCATAAACCGTGTGGGCTGGCGCCGGCTGGTTGCAGCACCCACCAAAGTGCTGTGTACAATCTTTTAAAATAACTATCGACCGGAGGTAGGGATTTTTTTCGTCCCTTTCTCTACGCTGTCCCACACATTTTTAACTTTGCTCACTAGAGGATTTGTGCATATTAACGTTAAATTTTCGTTTCTTCGTATCCTTAAAGAGCGATTTCTCCCATCAGTTTTCGAGTACCCAGCTTCACTGTACCATATTTCCCATGACTTTCTTGAATCCTTTATATTATAATCTCCCTCCTCCAGAGAGTCCAGCCCGGCGCTAAAACTTATCACCATTTATCAGTTCTGTGATGTACATGCTGTATCATATGTAATGGTCTACTCCATTAATAAACTTTCTGTAATGTGATTTTTATTTTATTTGACGCTTCCTTTAACAAATAAAACTGTAAATAAACTAAATGCATGTCTAGAAAAGGTAGAAATGTGTATTTTCTTGTATCTACAAATTATATCAACAACTCAGAATACATGTTTCTTGGATTTGTAAGATTTTCTCGAAATAGAGGAAAGAATCAATCATGCATTCCAAATGCAAGTTAAGTTCCTGATGTATGAGTTTGGAATTCACATCGCCCTACATATTCTACTCCACTTAGATTTATCATTAATGGAGTCGAAGTTGTGAGTTCATATTTCGCATATTCAGCTTTTAGAGAGCGTACAGATATTCGAATGTTGAAAGAAATAGTCTAATAATGGGAATATCTGCTCAGTACCGGTAGGCCTTGTTAAAAATGTGCGTACAATAGTTAGCAAATTAATTTGAAGGCTGGAGTTTATAAAATGAATGTCTGGAAATTCGTAACGAATTAAAGAGTGAACACACTAGCCAGCTCGCCAGTCACCTTGAATATATTTAATTTACAAACAAAATACAATGAATCGCAAGAGAGAAATTGTATATCATTTCATCTAAGTACTTGAGTTACAATGAATAGGCTTTGTGTTTTTAATTTACAGTTCCCTAAATTAGCTATTTAAAGGTCTACCCTCCTAAAGGAACGATAAGAAAAGTGCGTTTTCGAACTGTCTACCAAGCAATGATTTCCAATACATATCCTGCATAGGAAGTCGATGGAATGTAAACGGTATGGCTAAGTACGCCCTCCAGCACAAACAGCACGCAAGTCGAGAGGTTCACGGAATCTCGATGTTATATTAGAAATTCGATACGAGAAGGCCAAGGGCATAATATTTATTGAAACAGTAATGCGCATTATCACGCCAGTAACTTTATACCCTTACCCTCATAACGTTAAATGTAATTTAATACACGTAGAAACAATTCATCTGCATATAAGTGAAACTAAAAATACAATGCACCAGGCTATCGAGTTGAACTTTTATGTATCGTCCCCACTTGGCACTCCAGAGAACGTTTATTAAGATTCAATATTCTATATATCATAGGACATTATGCCGTCACTGTATTTCCATTATAAACTGCATCGACTAGATATCAGTTGTGACGTGGATACAAAACACATTTGGTGTGGTCTAATAATCATAAAGTAATGTAGTAATTACGGTACCTTTACGCAAGTATAACCACTCCGATGAAAATCCTCGTTGGTAACTAATTCCAGCATCAATAACTTTATTCCTTGCCCAAAAAGAAATTCTTGGTTTCCTTTTCGATCATTTTTAACCATTTTTATTATAGAACACACAATCGCACAAATTGTTTGGGGAAAAAATGAAGTGGAGTTAATGATGTCCCGCGTTTAGCCAATGAGAGTGCGTGTAATTTATTTGATATGGTTATACTTAACAGAAGTAAAACCAAAATTCACCTCTCTTATTTATGATAACTAAGATTTCCTTACCATTAACAGCCGTCAGAAAAAGACAACTTAATTTTTGTTTTCAACAGGCTAAATGGAAGTAGAGCTGCCAGGTTATATGTACGTTGATAATAGTGATCATGATAATTAAAATAGTGGCAATAAAAGTGATGGTGAACGATCATCACAACACATCACAACCGCAACCGTACATCCAAAGATGTACGGTTGTACAACCACAGCACAACCATACAGCCAAACATCACACAGTAACGCACTATACTCATCTCAACCACAACCAAACATCACACGTCACAGTACAAGCACTACAAACATCACAACCATACAACCACATCACACATAGTAAACTACACTATATATCACAACCATACAATCAAAAATCGTACTTCACAATAACACCACTGCATCTTAACCACACTACACATCACAACCGCATCACACATTCAACCATACACCAAAATTACATTCCACAACTACACACCACAAAATAAAATCACATAGACAGGTAAGTAGGCCTACATTGCACTATGCTTTATACATGTGTTAAATGCGATAATAATGATGATAATAATTTGATTATAATTACCGTCTTATTCATTGAACCAGCGAAGGAACAGGTCATAATTTTTTATCATTTTTACAAAAAGTACTCCTGGAAAGACACCCCCCTCCCACACACACACACACTCCAAAGTATACTGACCTAAAAGATAAAAATAATTACCTCTGCCACAGGATCTCCAATTTGATCTTTATCGTCATCTTTGTGATGTTCTAAATGCATGCGCCTAAGAACGATAACAATGAAAACAGACTGACACCCAAACTTGAAATGTTCAAGCAAGTGGAAGTCGGACATTTCCCCCAACCGGACTTTTTCCCTACAGCCATCCTCTGACAGGCAAGGGACTTCTCTACGCGTTGTGTGTAGGCGAATATTTCCCTCCCCGTGATTTTGTGTAGGCGGGTATTTCCCTACTAGTTATTTGGTGTGCGCCGATATTTCCCTTCTTGCAATTTAGTGTTGAAGTTTTAAATTAG